ATGAAATATCATGTTCCCTCCTATTTGCAGTATGAGTGGGGAAATTGAGCCCAGAAGCCCAGGACACTATCGAACCAAGTTTCCTGAGCAGAGCTAGAGTTCGTGTTGCTCTTATAAAATGCATTCTCATTACTGCTTCCTGTTTTCAAACAGGATTGAAAGTAGAACTAGTGCAATATCACAAGGTATTCCTGCTCTTCTGTTAGTACATGTAAAATCAGGAAGTCTAGAGAAATAATGAAGCCAGTCTCAAGTGATTTACATTTCAATTTCTAACTCAGGGATATTTATTTGGAGAATTTAGTAAAATCAATGGATATCTCAAACACATGCAAAATGATCCGGTTCTTCAATATTTTCATTAGTCATTCACCAGTGCTCTGTGTGCCTCCTGTAAGAACATAAATGCACAAGGCATCAATGTTTCCTCTAACAAAATTTAATAGTAACAACAATGATGATGACAGGAGTGGATGACATGTTCTAGGAAGAAAGAACAAGGGGAATACCGAAGAGGCACATAGATCAAGCAAAATCTCAACTTAATATGACTTGTAGTTAACATGCCTGATGTTACTAAATTGCACAGAAATAAGCATAAGCAAATATTGATTTTGTAATCTACTAAATCCAGAAAATTGAGGGTCAGTGAAGAATGAAAACATGGTTGGAAGAACAGAATATGATTTAACATTCCTGTGAATATTTTTGGAATAATCATGCAGAAAGACTCACAAAACTGCAGTTCCTCATTCTCTTTCAGAGAACACCCTGAAATTAATACAGATATTGTGGTATTAGTACAACCACACCTAGGTTCTGGAATCCAAGTCAAGACGGACTCTGGGGTGTGAGGGTTTCCTTTGAGTCGATGTTGAACAGGCTTTGCAATGGAATTTCTTCCCTAGAACCTTATTTCATAAAGGCTAAAAAATAAGACCACCATGCCAGGGACATTGCATCATACAGCTCTAGGAGGCACCATTTCACAGAATGCAGTGCTAATGTCCCATCCCCAGTCACAAATCCCACCTTCTCTGAATTTACATAAGGGCATAAATGGAGTGGACTGATCAAGGCTCTTCTACTCTAAGACAGTTCTTTCACGTAGCCAGAAGAGTTTCCAGTTTTTGAGATTCACTTAAATCCTTCCTTGGGAGTTAAGGGAAAGTCTGACTAATTATTAATAACATTGTGTTAGCTAGTCCAATCACTTCCTCCCATATCTAAGTGATTCATAGGTAAGGAAGAATGGATGATGGAGATTTTTATAAATTTTGACTCTGGGATGAGGCCTAAGTTAATGCTGCTGTGGGTGCTCTGGCAGCTGAAATATGAAAAGGATGACAGGGTGTCTGCTGGAGGAAAAATAATGGTTAGGATGTAGACAGGGGGAAAATGGGGAGTTGAAAGAGAATAAAGAAAGGAGTCTAAGCAGGACCCCAAAACAACTTGCAAAATAGGGCCTAGAAATAGCCCTGTCTGCTTGGTATGAGAGGCTCCTAATGAGATGAATGAGAGGAAATAATCTCTGAACCCACAAATACAACAGTCGCAGGTCCCACAGCCACTGATACAACTGTCTTTACCGTCTTGTCAGATTTCCATCCTCCACTGTCCTCCTTATGTCCTGCAGCAGGGCCCTGCGTCCCTCTCAATTTGTCTCCATTCTCAGTTCATCCACAAAAACCATTTAAGTCCAGGGCAACCCACATTCTCTCCCTCAGCATGTCTAGAATACCAGCCCCTGTGTGGGTCAGAAGGAATGGGACTCTCAGTCAATCATTCTGCCAGATGAAAGGTAAGGAAGATGATCAGACATCCCCACAGAGAAGTCAAATACCACCTTCTCCATGAAATCCATTGTTTCTTTCTTTCTTTGAACTTCCCTCGTACATATGTTCCCTTCATGACACATTTCAGTACCTACCTTATAATATCCCAGGTATCTGCTCATCTCCGCATTACCGAACCCTTTGCCAGAAATGCCCAAATGGTTATTTCTGCAGTGACTTAGCTCTGGTATGATCTGATCTTTTCTTGCAGACTTTCTCTCTCTCCACCTCTCACTTCCACCTGAGTTTAATGCCATTGCTCTTCTCCCTACCTGGGCACAGCCCTAGTCTCAGTTAATTATTTATTGTTTCTCTATTGCCCTCACAAAACTCTGGGACGCTTGGTAAACAAAGATTGTCACCAGTCTCCAAGATGGTGCCAGATAGAAGGGATATATGTATGTTTTCTGTTGATAGAAATCTTTAAGATGAGGTTTTGTGTTATTTTCCTCTATCTCCCCAGAGCAATATAGTGCTCTGCAAAATTAGAAATCCCCAAATATTTAACCATAGAAAAAAAATTATGAAATAGCATCAAGTGAATGACCTTGCCAAACAAAGTGCATGGGAAAAGAATAAAGAGAACAAGCGGAGTGGAGGAGTGTTAACAAAATGTGAGGATGGGGTCAGATGGAAAAGGAAGCCAGTGCTGGAGGAGAGACAGTGAGCAAATTAAGAGAAATAGCATTAACACTGTGGTAGGGAGAGAGATCCGCCTGATGGAAAGATCTGAGGAAGGAAAATCTTGAAAATGTTTTCTGCCGCCTGTCCCATGAAAACAGAGGTGGGGAAGCCAGATAAAAGTCTTCGTTGTAATCCAGCCTTTTGACAGTAGCACATCACTAGGAAAATTATGGTTTGATTGTGAAATACAGGAATGCAGCTTTTGATTTGATACTGAAATTTGTGCAGCTTCTGAGGAAGCAACATGTTGTATAAATGGTACAAGTTTGAGCTATGTAAATACTGTGGCTAGATGCTCTTGGCCAGAAGAGAGTAGCTTCATCCTGAGTGACTTCCCCCACCAATATTACAAACACACTGTCTTTAGATTTTGAATATGTTAAGAAATGGGGGAGATCAACCTTTGAATGCACTAAGAGAAGAACTCAGAGAAGAAAATATTTTTCTAGAAAAATATATTTTTCTTAATACATATTTCAAATTTTTATTTTATACTTATTGAAAAAAAAAACTCTTGCATTCTCAATTAGATAATGCATTACTCATGGAAGCACATAAAAAGTAAAAATAAGAGCAAAATACATTGGCTAAGCAATTCCTAAAACTTTTATATAAACATCTTCGTTAGTTATAACTGAAGAAACATAAAGTGCAAATGTTTAATGTATAAATTTGTTTGGTTTTAATATGTGTAAATGCCTATGAAACCATCACCACAATTAAGGTAATAGACATATCCAGCATTCCCAAATTTTGCTCCTATCTAATGTGATCCATACTTGTCTCTATCCTTTCCCTAAGCAATTACTGATCAGCTTTCTGTCAACATACATTGGTTTGCATTTTTGAGAATATTATATAAATGAAATTATACAAAAATGCCTCTTCTCCTCCCTCTTCCCCTCCTCTTCCTCCTCTTCCTCCTCTTCCCTTTCTTCTCTTTTTATTGGCTTCTTTCACTCAGCAGAATAAATTTGCAATTCATCCATGTGGGTTTATGCATCAATAGTCTGTTCTTTTTAATTGTTTATTTTTTCATTGAGTAAACTAAAATTTGTCTATCTAATCCACTGTTGATGGACGTATGGGTCTTCTCTTGAGAACAAAATACCTGCTCCACCACCTCTTTCTGCCTGTTTTACTGGAAAATTATGAGTCTCTCTGATCCTTATTTTTTTCTCTATAAAAATATGGATTTAATGGCTATTTTATAGGATTTTTGTTAGATTCAATCATTGAACAGATGGCTTAGCACATAGTAGATACTAAGTATTAGCTTCTTTTCTAAGTTGTCATTTAATTGGCTTAATGGTATTTATTATAAAGTAACATTTTTTCTCCTATCAAAATGCTTCCTTTTCTATTCATCTTAATGTCTGCCTGCTTGACCATTACAATGAATGATTCTAGCCTCATTGTCTGTCCAACAAACATCGGGGTAGCTATACCCTTCGGTCCTTAAAACTTGATTCTTCTTTTGGGTTATATTCGCTCCCATATCAGACTAGTCACAGTATTGTTCAATGTACACACCTGCTCGGTGACCCCCATAGGAGGTCTATTAGGTGAGACTTAGAGACGAATCAGGCAAGAAGAGGTGTTTTTATTGCAACCATTTTGTTTGCAATGAGATGTTGTGTTCACTTGAGGGACTTTTGGGGAGGGGCATTTGAAGAGGATTATGGTTGAGGGGCTCAGTTAAAGCTCCCCCAGTTCACCCTCTGATGCTGCCACAGTTTAGTCCTTTTCGTTTTCTTCCTCCAAATTCTATTTTTCTCATTGCTGCTCCTTTAAAGTGTGCCCATACTAAATTTTCTTGCCTAAATTAGACTCCTTCTATTAAAATAAATGGTGCTGATTTTCTTTTTCTTCATATTCTTTATAAATATGATGTCCAACTAAGCTAGCAAATCTAGTTCAGTTGGCAGATGGCAGTGGATGAAGGAATTTTAATTTCCCCCTTTGGATATTGTGAGTGGAGGTAGGGGCTCTGGGGTCTGTTTTGCTCTGACACCAATTTTACTCACTTAAATTTGACCTTATTCATAGAGATTTTTGTTCACCAAGAGAGGGTGCTAATGGTAGCCTGTAGGGGTAAAGTGGGTAATAGACCGGTGAAGTTGTGGATAAAAAAGCATATATCCTAAAGACAATTGGTTGGCAACATCATTTCTATGTAAGAAAGACGGTATCTCATTGCCTCAAGGAGTTTCTTAATGGAATTAAGATATACACATCGATGGTTGTGCTACCTATAAACTTCTGAAGTCCTCTGTTATGTATAGTACTATCCACATATAAAGGTCCCAACTGACGAAAGACTTACAAAGTCACTACTTTTTTCTTCACTACTCTCAGAGAGTAGAAGACTCTTGTTTATCACCTTTTAATATCCTAATGATTAATAGGGACACTCCACCGAAAGTTTCTCATGGAAAAGCATATGTTTAGAATAACACAATACATTTTATATTTTATCAGGATAGCACTATAATATGCAGAAATCTACAAATTCTGATACTTCTGTGGAAACACTGAATTCTACCCGCCACGGCACAGGAGCTGTGCAAATGAGAATCAAAAATGCCAACAGCCACCATGACAGGCTCAGCCAGAGTAAATCCATGATCCTCACCGATGTTGGGAAGGTCACTGAACCCGTAAGTCAAATACCCCAAATATCCCAAGTTTTCTGTCATGCAGAATTTTGTAAAAGAAAAAAAAGCTAATTAGTCTTGTTGTATTTGTTTGCCTAACGTGCATGAGAAAACTGTTTTTGGAATGCATTTTATCTTGCCTACTTAGAGTCATAATAATATCCCCAGTTGCAAGAGAAGAGCTGGGCTTAATCCAGAGTGATAAAGTGGATTTGAAGCTAGACTGAAGAGCACCTTTGACTCATTTTAAGGACCTCTACTATCATGCTTCAGTGTCATAAAAATAATGAGGTTATGCTAGCATGTGGTGTTTGTACTTCCAAATACAGTACATCACTTTGAAAAGCCAGAGGCTAAAATTAGCTAAGAATGAATTGAGAAAAAAAAATATTAAAAAAAAAACAACCTGAAAATCTCTTCCTTAAAATCTCCCAATAATATACATTACTGGAAAGTACGATTTGATTTGGAGTGGGCTTAAAGGATTGAAATGGTGTGGCTATTCAAGGTTTGGAGAGGAAGCCATTTTGTCTCGATAATGTGTCATTAGGAAGATTTGAAATAAAATAGTTAGAGATGAACTCTACTGCCAATTGTGTCGCTGGCCCTGCACGCATCCTGAGCCACTAAACCCACTGATTGCGATGGGTCTCCTCTGGTTAATTTTCTTCCATAATGGTGGTAACTTGCAGCTGAGGCCATAGGATGTTACAAAATTATTTATGCAATGTTAGCCACTCTTTTGGACACCAGATCTATTTTGTTTCTCACAGTGAGAGCAAGAGCGAGGAGAAATAGGTTAGCTGGGGACAGGCTGAGTTCCAGTCACCCTGAAGAAACATGTGAGCTATTAATTGAGTGTTCTGTTAATATCATAGGGGCCTATGAAATATTCAGCTTCCTAACTGAGTTATTAAATGAGATAAACTTGCTGAGTAGCATGTTACTGATTATATTTATTCCCCATTTTTCACTCAAAAAATTAACCCACAGCAATCTCAGGAGCTTGAGAAACGTGTGATTGTAATCATTCTTTCCTCAGGTGTTGTAGACAAATTTAGCATGAGGAAGTCAGCAATTACATTTGGGGAGTAAGAAGTACATCCTTAGATAAAGTAACTAATGAGATATGCATTTTCCTTTATTTACTTTCTCATTTAAAAGTATTGTCTCCTGGGAGGTACAATGCTGCCAGCCTGACTTTGCTTTTAAAGCAGCTAAAATGTTCATCAACTATGAACTTGAGACAGTGGTTAGAGTAAATTATTGGAGTCTCTATAATGTATTATCGGTAAGAACTGTACCTTTGAAAAAGTTTAAAAGTTAAGTATATTTAATGATGCCTAACATATTTTATTGGCTGTGTTTAACAAAAGGCACTATGCCGCAGTTGTTTTTGACAAGCATGAAAACATCACAGCATGAGACTGCAAAAGGAATTATGGAGAGAAATTACAAGTGATCCATCTCTCAATGAATTATCCACCTCAATAGCCCGCAGAACTCAGCTACCAATTAACACCTACTTTATTACATGTTGGGATGTACTTAATAACTTTCATGTGTTTATGCACTATTACCTTGACTGATGCCTCTTGTACAATTAGGCATAATTGGCATATCAATATGCAAAAGTTAAAAGGATTAACCCTCTTAAAACTAATGAGCATTTCTGTATCCAGCTGCTAAATGAGACAAAATTAGCATTTTTCACTTTTGGGCAGGATTTTATCATGCAGTTTCTCATTGTTGATATTACCTTGTTACATAACTTTAGTTTGGGGGGTTGTATGCTGGACTGCTAGAGAATAAGAGTTTTCCAAAGTTAAATTAGCTATAATTATCCCAGCTTTTGTTTCCGCATTCTTAGCCTGGGCAATATGTATTCCTCGATAAGGAACAAAAATAAAAGTTACTTTTGGTTGTGTGTGCTCAGTGCATAATTATATAAAAGGGGTATTTTAGTGAGGATGTGTCATTTCACCGAGAAAACTTGGCTCAGAGATACTGTATTGAAAGCTTGCCATGGCACTAATTTTCTTTCTGTCTCAGTTCTTTTCATCTCTTTTTTCCATGCACAATTTTCTGACTAGATACTGACAGAATGTAAAGTATTTTGGCATATTTATTCAAACAAGCCTGTTAAAGTTATCTGCTCAAGCTAAACTAAGAACCTGATTTTTCAGAAGTTGGGTGGTGGGGTGAGGTCAAGGGGGAGATTTTGAATTTAGCGGTGGGAAAAGATGGATACTAAACATGTGTGCAGAGATTCACATGCGGTAAGGTTTTTTTTAACAGAGGTATGTATATGTAGTCTTTGCAGAAAAAAGTTAAAAGTAGAGATCATACATATGTCATGTATCCTACTTAATGTACATGGCATATGCATACTACTTGTTCACTGGCATAACAATTATGCAAATCTCATATGACTTACTGGACTATATAATAACACAAGGATCTGCTATTACAATCATCGTGATTTAATTCATTACAAAAATGATAAAATATTCTAAGGTCAAATCAATTCTGTAATTTTCTCATGAATTCATAAGTTCCTCTTTTAAATTTTGTTCAGTTAAAATGTTTTTAATATGACTCTTAACTTAGAACACAATACAAAATTTTCCTGTGTAGGTTGTCAAAGCTTTGATTCTTAGTGTCTTAAATCAAGGAATACTTTGATATGTCAATATAAATATTTATCCAACCCTAAGCTATGCAAACATAGGCAAATTTACTGGTTAAGTTAGAAATTTTGATAACTTAAATGTTGCAGGGAAGCATTTCAGTAAAACAGGTGTGAATGCTCCATTAGTATTTTGTTGGTGGTGTGCATCTTTTTCTTTAGACATCAAATAATCATCTAAAATTTAGTTAATATAATCAACGCCTTTTCAAAATTCAAAGAGGTTACTTTTCTGACCTGGGAAATGTTGGAGAGGTGGGCAGTTTCGAGAGGTGGAGGTGGTTTGCAAGAAAATCACCCTCTTTAAGAGAGATCTGGAGAGCTCCCTTTGGTGGGGAAAGAACAGTCTTTGGTCGCAGTGATCTGTTGTCCTGTCCTGAGCACCAGAGTGAGACCTCTTAAAAGTAGACAGCTTATGAACCAGAATGTGTTAAACAGAAAATCAGACAGCTGAGTGCCAGTAGATGGGGGCAAGTGAACTGTGCCTGTTTAAGGGCTAAAAAGGCGAATGTGCAATCCAGCAAATAGCTATTGCAAAAGGTTTAATGTGGTTTTGATGTTATTTATGAGAGGGATGCTCCTGCCTAAGACACAGTTTAGAATAGATATTAATGAGAAGTTTAAGTAGCCAGAATCAGGAAACTGCAGACATATGACTTGCAGGCAAGAGTAGTTTCGACATTTAATGCTAGTGTCTTAAGCAACAACGTGTATGAATATTCACCGTTTCCATCTTGTAAACCCCACAGAAGGGCATTACTTCATTCATGGCCATCATGAACAGGAAAATATTTTTTTTATTGGTGTTCAGATAAAGACTTAGGTGGAGCCATTTTTAAACATTAACCTACAAGATTCCTTTTACTTCCATTAGCAGACTATGTTTGTTCACTTTTTAAATATATTATCAGAAAAAAAAGAGGACACAATTTTCTTTTGTTTCTTACTTCTGTGATTATAGGATACTTGCCAAAGTTGTGGCTAGCCAAAAGGCAGACATAAAAAATGCTACTAAAAATATAAACCTTCTGTTTAGTAGAGTTTTTAAGAAATATTATGAGATTGCAGGGCTTGTCCATGTTTACTTCAAATCAAGCATATAGTTAGGTATGAGGCTTTGTTTGTATAAATTGTCCTGAAGTGGATCCTGATATTTAATTAAAATGACACTAAATCACATTGAATTGATAAGACTTGGCATCTCAAACAAAGGTAATTGCCCGTATTGGTTTTGTGCAAAAATAGCGCTGCTTGGAAAATGTGCAGCCAACACAGACTGTCAACTCCATTTATAGATCAATATGTGAAAACCATTGATCAGGCAGGCATGTGTAACAGTAACACTTTGCATTTATTTGTTGTTTTTATACCACATTAAGGCTTACAGGATTATAGGATTCCTAAATATTTTGACTTCCTCATAAATATATGATCTGTTGCATGTTAATTAAATGAGAGTCTGCAGCCATTTCTAAAATTGTTTTTAGTTTGATGATTTCCTTTTATTGCTGTGGATCGTATGATCTGAAAATGGATTAGTTTCCTTCTGCATAAAGATTATTAAAGCTTATTTTAATGTGTCCTATTTAGTGTAAGATGTGTCTGTATTTTTGCTTTGAAAAATATAGATACAGACAATTATTTTCTCGTAGCGAGTGGCTGATCTTTTTTTATTAACCGGGCATTCTCAGTGCTCAGGGTAGAATTATTTCCTGACATATTTTGCACACCCTGTAGATAACGGGTATTCTTGATTTCCCTGATAGAATTTGTTTTCTTTCCTTTCCTTTAATCTAGCCCTGTAGTACAGGCATCCGACCAAACATAATGTAGAAAATAAAATGATCATCTCAATTAAATTCTAGACACACACAAATATAATTTAAATTCTATTTTTCTGATTCGAGAACAAGCCTTATGAACTGTTCTTATACACTGAATTCTTCAGTTAAATCTTTCTTATCTCATCAATGTAAGGACAGTGTTTTGTTCCTAATCTTTATTGGACTATTGTGGATGACATTTGTAAGCCATTTTGGTTTATAAGGAAAAGCTGGAGGACAGTGGAGTGAGACTCTCCAAAGATCCAAGCCTCTGATATGACTACGCAATAATGTGTCTTTCACTGCAATTTTCTTTGCCACTGAGAGGGCAATTTTGTTGAGATTTTTAAATATTTTCTATATACATTAGGAGTGTTGCTTTCGAGACAGTGCTTTCTATACAATATTAAAATAATAAGCAAGATGTTGGAAACAGCAACAAACAAGTAACCATGAAATTCAAAGGTTTTCTAAGGCACTAGTCTGATATACTTTGCAGACATGGTGTAGAACAGATGAAAAAGTTTGTTAGCTAGAATTTTGCCTTTTACACAATATGCCCCAGGGGGGAAAAAGATTCAAAAGCCACTGGAGATTTCTTTCCTTGTCCTTGCCACCCCTTGCCATCTCATGCTGTGAAAATCTTTAACTCTATTTACCAAGCACAAATTGGACTTGTCAAAAGGTTCAGAAAGTTTATGACAACAGTGAAGAGTCCACACTTCAAAGAAAGAGCTGGGGCTCTCACATCCACTTACGTGGTTGCGTCGTTTCCATCTTAACCTGAGCATAGCTAAATTTGTTTATAATCTCCTGCTGATTGAACATGGTGCTGAATGTACATGAGATACATTTTTTTAAAACTTAGTCCTCTGGTTACTAATTTGAATCCAAAACTCTAACCTTGTTAGCATCTGGACTTATTTCCATAATAACAACCCCTTCAGAACCTACAAAGTAATGAATAATTGACAACAAATGAAATGTTTTGATAGTTGTCGGCACAAAGCATGTTTAATGTTTTGTGTTGCTTCCTAGCTAATTATGTAGATGACACATTTGTCAGACCTTGACTGCCATTAGAAACGTGTTTCCAGAGGGGAGAAAAACAGGCTATTCATAGAGTAATTAACTAGAATGCTCAATGACCTGTGAGAGATTCAAATCGCTGCCAGTTCAGACATTGTTTTGTTACAGAGCAGAGGGGTAATTAAAATTCCAAATTACAGTCCTATGATGGAGCATTTGTTTGTTGACAGTATACTCTTACTCTAGTTTGTTAATTTTTTTTTAAATTGCTTCTAATCCATTTTATAGCTTTAGGAGTTCCGTCTGAATTTACTGACAACTAATATTATGGTAAATTGTACTTCAGTCGCCTACTGCGTGCCTCACAATTTCAAAGGACCACAAGGTGGGTGGGATAAAACAGCTCCTTCTCAAGACTGACAGATCAGGTGCTGTCGATGAGAATGCCTCTAACATGGAACATCTTGTCAAATACTGCTTCCAATTCTATATGAGGAGGAAATGAACTAGTGGAAAACACAAAGGTAAAGAGGAAAGCAACAGTGAACAATTGGAAAGGAGCAAGGAAAATTACTCTCCCGATCAGAAATGATTGATTACGTGTTCTGTTGCCGAGGAGGAGAGAAGAGTGAGAGCTGAGGATAATTTGGGAAATGGTGTTGAGAGTGTGGTGCTGAGTTCAAGGCAGAAGATGTGGCAGTCTGTAAGAGGGCTCACCTAGATCACTCAAAGGGTGGCATGTTTCACAGTCCTGCCTTTCATCTCAGGTCGATAACAAATCAACAGATAATAGACATCATTCATCAGATGTTTCAAGGAAATGTTGGGATAGTTCACAAATCTAGCTGGCTAAAATCGTCTAAAAAATTCAGTTCCAGTGAAACATGTGTTTAGGTTGCTGAAAGTGAGAATATAGTTTTATTAAAAAGATCTGACAGAAGTCACACGGTGTTTGATGCAGGCGAGCTGACAGAGGCATCCAGTGAGCACTGATTATCCCGAAGTCACTGTCAGCTAGGATTGATTTTCACTTTCTCCGTTTATGTAATGGTTCCTGTAATACAGCTGACCCCGAATCATGTTACCTTGTCATTTCTCTGCATGGATCAAGAAGAGATGAGCTGAAAATAGCTAGACACTGACCTTGAACTTACCAGAAAAGTGAGAAGTGACAGTGGGGTTTTTCTGTAGTTCATGTACAAAGATGAAGGCACACTGTTCCTCTGTCAAGTTCACTGCAGCAGCACAAGGGGGCAGAGCAGTACTGGAGATTACAGGTAAAACAGCTTCTGCAACAGCACAGAAAGATTCTGAAATACGGAGTTAGAGCCAGAGGTCTCATTTTTACATCTTAGTGTAGACATAAAGGAGAATTACTGATGAATCAAAATCTCAGGTCCCCTGATGTTCATAATCAGTAATCTAAAAGTGTACATTCTAATTAAAAAAGATTACCTAATACGCTGCATGCCAGCAACTATGTTTTTCCACTAAATTATTTGCAGCATCTCTTATTTAATTCATATAATACACTTCACCCTTAAAATAACTTTGGAAGCACAGTCAATATTATTAGGAGAGTTTTCATTTGTGGCAAACTCCCAAGGTGATATGTGTTCCTTTACATACAATTGTATCAGCAGATGGGAACATTCTTTACATTTTACCAAGTATTAACACCCAAAAATTAAAACTGGGGAGTGTTTAATGGCAATGTGCACTCACAAACAGGTAAAAGGCAAGCTAGAAAATGGTGTTCGCCATTTGACTTACATTTATTTATGGCTTGTACATTTTCCCATTTTAATATCTACCTCAATTTTCAAAAATGTATTTTAATAGATCATCATTATGACCTTGATTAATCTAAAACAACAGTATGTCAAACATTATCCTTTGCTTGCTAGCACTTAGTTAAGCCAAATCATTACTGTACTGATGCTGAATGTTTCTGATAAATGGCACTTAAAAATCTTGGCAAGTGAAGCAGAGAACTGAAGCAGGTTGAGAAACAGAAGAGCAAACACTGGCTCAATTTTCCCCCAGGTTGTAAGTGCCTTATGTAGTGGCACAGTAGCATCTTTGCTTGTGTGGTGTCACAATAACATTTTTGCAAGCCTCCATAATAATAGACTCTTTCTTGTATACAGTAGATTCTATGTATGTGTACATGTAATATATCCATATATATACACACATATAGAATATATATAGACTTTCTTGTATACAGTAGATTCTATGTGTACATATAATATATCCATATATACATACACATATATACATATCTATATACAGATACATATAAATATATGGAGAGATGTATATAATATATATTTGGACTTATTTTTATATGCCAGGAAAAAATAATATACGTACAAGTATGTATGTGTATTTACAAGCTGAAATATCAAGATTGTCTCAACGTTCTTTTTCCGTAGATTTAACCCAGGACAAACTGACAATAAGATCAGAGAAACAGTAGATTTCCAATATATTTCAAGGATAGAATAAATAGGAGATCATTTTATTGCTAAGAAAGTGACAGAAAATATTCATAATATCTGTGTCATAACAGAAATCTGTAGTACCTAGGTTTTGGCCTCTGGCAGAAGAAAAGGACAAGTTCTCTGACTTAGAAAGATTTGCTATTTGGCGGATGAGGTATAAGAGGGGGCGGTGGTATGTTTATAGCTATAAAATTAGTGTGTCTAAAAATGACACCTTCAAAGGCAACCCTGAGGAACAATTGCATTACTTGAGAATCACACAATTACTCTGCCTTTCTGCTCCTCTGAGAGTGCAGGAGACCTCTTGCATGGCCTCTCTGAGGTGGTAGGAAACCCGTTCCTAAATGGTTGATTAGCCTCTGCTTTGGAGGTCAAGGCAGACATAAAGGTGTTGTCTGCTAATACACTTCCCCAGAGTTCTGTTTTTTGTTTTATTCTCTTTCTTTCCACTGCCTTCAGTGTGTAAGGCTTTTAATAAGGGACTTCAGTCCCTGATGTGTTCAGATTCGGTTTATTGTTACCATCTGTTTAATTATCCTCTCAGGTTTGTGTTGGGAAGCATTAAAGTATTCTATCCAGCCTTTGAATCCCTGTGTTCCTAAAGAGATGTGGGTAAAGTACATGTCAGTTTTCAAACAGCATATTAAAAACTGATAAGCAGAACCGTCTCCAAACAATAACATGTAAGGCAGACTTTTTTTTCCATTAATGCATGTTACAACTAATTAGCAAATGTACAGCAATGTGGCACTCTCACGGAAATGATGCCATCTTCTCTACATGCAATCTCATATGCTTCTCCTTTGAGGTGATGGATTTTTATGATTCGTATTCACTTCCAATGCACTGACAATAAGTTTACTGGGGGAAGAGACATGGAATTTGATTTGTAATAGGACAGATAGTTGTCATATGTCAAGAAGATTTATGGATGTGCTAAAGTGAAAGAGAAATCGTATACCCAAAGAAAAAGGACAGGATGTATGGGGAAAAATTAAGAAACCCAGGAAAGATTCAGTTACTTGATTTTTTCTCCTCTTCCTCCTGACTTTCCTCCTCATGATTACTATTACGTGTCATGTCATCATTATTATTACTACACTCCCTGTGGTTTTTTTTTTTCTTTTTTCTGGAGAAAAAGTAGCATGTTGCTTCCAGTAAGTGCTAAAGTCACCATTATATCTGGTGCAGTTTTCCATGTGCAAAAACCACTGATAACAAAAAATTCACTGGCTGCCACAGACATACCATCAGTTTATATCAAAATTATTTTATCTATCACTATTTGAGTGAAATTTTTGAAAATCATAAAACAAAATTCATTATAAATGTGTAAGTATCAAAATGTTTTAGAGGTCAGACAGAAACCCTGAAAATCAAAAGGAAATAAATCATGTTTTTACTTCCTAAATCAAACAAAGAAGCCAAATGACTACTCATGATTCCTTTTTACGTATCCCTTAAGAAGTGATTTCAATAAACATTTTTTTCTGAGATTCCAGGATGTTATTAGATTAAAAATGTATTTGAAAGTTTTCAGAAAGTACCTTTCTACAGTACCATAAATATAAATGACAAAGTACTGGTCTCTTTTTATTTCTTTATGAAGAAGCCAGTGTTGTTCTTGCCTTATGCTCTTATATTATCTCTGTGAGGGAAGAAGAGTAGTGATGACACCAACTTTCCTCCACTACTTTTGGACATCAAACCTGCTTTCTTTCCCACAGGGTAAAATAAAGCTGCTGTCTTCATATTTCCAATGAGAAGGGACATGTGTCTCCCTGCATTGAATTGTCTTAGATCATATCATGTAGCACAATGTGACCCAATATAGGAAGACAGGAAAACAAAGTGACAGTTTTGTTTGCTCTAATATAAACTCCAACATCAAAACATGGGGAAAATCCTAGAGGCCCACTGCCAGATCATACAAATTAAATGCAAGAGCTGAGATTCTGTACTTTAAAAAAATGTATTTAAGGGATATTCTGTAATCAGCAGTGAAAGGTTAATGAACAAATAAGCTTAGCTCAGGTTAGACAAACTGAGTGTAAGTACCACTGTTTTTAAAGCCATGAGAAAGTAAATCTGGCTGATACTTGATAATACATCACACACTGTGGTCTTACCTATTGATCATAGGCTGACAATGGGTAACCTTTCATGGCAACTTCCTCTTTTACCATGAATTATTGACAGTGTTAATGCCAATAACACATGATCAAATAGACAGGAAAGAAATTTACATTCCTGGATGGACTATCCTTAACCTCATGCCTTTAATGTCAAAAAAAGAGAGAGAGAGAGGGAAAGAATGAAGGAAGGAAGGAAGGAAGGAAGGAAGGAAGGAAGGAAGGAAGGAAGGAAGGAAGGAAAGAAAATGTCTTCTTTCTTGTCTTGAAAATGCTAATGAATTAGCCTTTACTTTTACACATGTTATTCATGTGACATCCTGATAATTCTTATCTACAGCATATTCTGGGTAATACAGCCTTATATTTAAGGGAATCTTGCTGTTGTTATTTTCACCCTAGTGTCCTCTAATAGTTTATAGATCCTAGGAAATGTTATTCTAATGGTGTGTCCTGAGGTTTCTGCATTAATAATTCCTGCTCGGTGTGTCCCTCTAAGAGTCCCCAAAGTGGGAAGTAGGAGAACAGGTTTCATCTATTCATTTCATCTTCACTTATTTATTCATTCATTTTTATTGGCACTAACAGTATGTCAGAGACTGCTTAGGCTGGGGACATAAAACAAGTTTCTCTGTCCTCTTGGAGGTTACATGCAAGTGAGGTAGAACCCTTACCTGGTATAGCCCAGACTCTGCTGTTAGCTACCTACACATCCTCATTGCCACTGCCACCACCACCTCTTTACACTATTATTAGTGTTGTATACCTTGCATTTTATCAGAAATATTGTACACCATGCTTAAAAATGGCCTGTAAAAAAAGAGACGTTCACTATCTCTTCACCTCCTGTAGGATGCATTTCTGTGTGTTGAACATCTGAAATGACAAACTTTGATTGTTTTAAACTTCAAATTATCAGAATTCCGCCTGATTTTATCCTGTTTTAAACTCTCTTGCACACTTTGACTTATTTCCTATGTCTTATCTTTGGTGTACCCAAGTTATTTAAGTACTTTCTTTGGTAACAAGTCAAGCTGCTTGTGTTATCTCGTTAGATTTATAACACCTCTTTTATTCATCATTCTTTCTTGTTCCTTCTTCCTTAGTTTTTTTTTAATTTACGATAAACTTTTCACTGAAGTTAAAGCAATCATTTTTATGAATACAAATAAAAATGTTAATGTGTTTACTTGATGTCTATGACTATTTTTGTTTCAGCATGAAACCTGAGCCCAGACATAATTTAAACATCTACAAAGCATTCAAATTTTCAAGTTCTTGACTTAAAAATTTTACTTTGATCTTTGCTAGTGGGGTCTGACTGAGTATTGTTCTTCAAGTATCCATAACTTATGGGGTTGATTGTGGTTTGTATATGATCCAATTATAAACCTACCAAAGCAGGTATCAATCCTTAGTGTGATTTCTATCCTTAGTGTTACTCTTATATTTTCTTTATTCTTATCATACTATTGTAGCCTTTAAAATATTTGCTGGCCATTTTATTAATGTGCACCCCACCAAAGCAAAAGTGATCACATTAACCAGGAGACAAAAATCAGAGTATAGAGGCTCAGCTGTCATTATGAGCTACCTTGAGGCTTATTGACTCCAGGAAAAAAAATACAAAAAAAAAATAACCCTTTGAACAGTGATTTATTCAAACTGTGTATAGATACAGTAGGAACAAAATATAATAACAGCCAGGTATTGAAATTAAGTAGTCAATTACCAGTTATTTCTGCCTAAAACAAGGTATGCCTTCTTTCTTTCTGATTACTTAATCGGGCACAAAATAGGCTCTCTTGAGACCTCACAGATCCTTATTTTTCTTACATATGGATAATGGGACAGCAGTCTTGCAATAAGAATGGACCAGGAAACCCAGTTTGGATTCAGGATGCATTCAAGACCGTGGTTTCTCACTTTTTGACTAATAACCTGAGCTTGCCACCACGCCTGCTGCCCTTTCTAACTCTGAGGCCCCATCTCCTGTCTGACTGCTTTGATGAAACCAGTGTTTGAAGATCCTTGTTCCTCAAGATCACCAACATGTTCCTAGAATTCTGGTTGCTTTTTTTTACCTATCCTTCAGAGGCCTGTTTCAGACTGTTCCCCAACAAGGATAATGACAATGTCATGTCTACTATTCACACTCTAGGACAAGGATGATGGGTCTAAATAGGGGTTACCATCAAGTGGCTGCTCCCCCTAGCCAATATCACCATGGCTACTTTTTATTTGGTTGGAATGGTGATTTTAAAATGTATTTTCTTTTTATTTGGTTGGAATGGTATTTTTAAAATTTGAAAGCCTTTATTTGGAGCTGTAGTGTCTTCCTGCAGGTTGTGTTACCTGCTTGGCCCTAATGACATTTGACTTGGTATTCTTAAAGCTATTCCATTTTTTGGCTGTTCAGAGGTGCAGACAAAATGTGGCAGGTCAGAAAATGACACTGTTGGTCATAAATTTGAAAACTTAGAAGATGACAGTCATTAGGCATAAACTAGAAATGTAGTCTACATCACCTTTCACTGGTAGTGCAAATAGTTTATATTACATAGCTTAAGAGGAATTTTCTTATTTGGGTTTTCTCATTTGGACTTAATTTCATGTATTTATTTATTATTTTAGAGACAGTTCCTGGCTTTGTCACGTAGGCTGTAGGGCAGATGCAGTGGCATGTTTATAGCTCACTGCCGCCTTGAAATCTTGGGCTCAAGCAATCCTCCTGTTTCAGCCTCCCCAGTAGCTAGGTCTACAGGTACACACTGCTAATCCTGGCTATTTTTCAAATTTTTTGTGGAAATGGGGTCTTGCTGTGTTGCTGAGGGTAGTCTGGAACTCCTGGCCTCAAGTAATCCTCCCACCTTGGCCTTTCAAAGTACTGGGATTACAGGCATCAGCCACTGTGCCTGGTCCTAATTTCAATTTTAGACTGTTAAGTTATTGTAAATTAAGAAACATCTTGTTGCCTTTCAAGAAACACTAAAAAATAACCAAGGTTGTCTATGGAAAATGTGTTCTCTTATCATCAAGTTTTAAATATTCTGTTTATTCTGGGTTATCTATGATTTAAGTTTAACCATTCTGAAAACTTGATAAGAAGCTACTTTGTATTTAAGTGAAGCATCTCAGTTATAAATCTTATCACAAAGAATCACACAAGGCCCTTAAAAATGAGAGAAATGATGATAACATTTCACAATATTATACAAAATTCAAATCAACTTTGATTTGACTAGTCATCTGATTATTATCATTTACTTTACATTCTCACTAATTAATTTAGAGACTTTTAAACTTTGTTAGAATTTGTATTTCCTTTTCCATTGACATGTAATATCTCTTAAGAAAGGAAACACTGAAAAATGAACTCTACAAACACAGTCTCCATTCACTTCTTCATAGCCAAAATGTCATTTTCAGGAGCATCTGTTTTTCCAAATAGAAGCCCTAATGGAAAGAGAAACAGATTCACATGAGGAAGAAAATGCTACTTAGAATAAAACTGCCAAGGGCCTCTAGAATCTCTAGACTCATCACTGGCATGTTGAATTTAACCTAAAGATCTGTTTTATTTTGCCTAGACAGTACTTTCTCCTTTTTGCTTTTTAACTGAGCTGACATACTGACATTCTGAGATTTCACATGAAAATCTGTATTTGTGACATCTCTCAAAAGGTCAGAAATTCTGGCATCTGGGGCTGGTTCCCCAAGGAGCAGGCAATAACCAGCTGAAGTTAAATATTCTCTTGCTTCCTCTAGATGAGGCAAGTGCTCCCTGGTTCAAAACAGTCCAGCGAGGCCCCTTCATGGGGTGTTTTTACCCACCTGGCATTTGAGTTGGTGATGCTGGCTTTAGCATATCTATTCCAACCTTATTTGCATGTCTCCTGATTACCATAAGAAACTGAGTTGTCATGCAGGTAACTGCAAAACTCATGTCTCCTTTGAGAATAAATTTTCCAAGTTGCCTCCCAGGTAGGAAGAAGCTTTTGAAATAGGAGGAAATAGTTCTTTCATGTATTCAGGTGGTTATTTGTGTAAATGAAACTTTGGAAAGAATTATCCTTTGCCGATTCCCAAAGACACTAGTGGCCCTGGGACATGCCAATTGCCAATGACAAATCAAAGTGTCAGTCTCGGGTAGATACAGAAAGCATTTGTCCCTGAAGTGGGCCCTCCAGGTTCAATCAGAACTGTCAGTGGCCAGTGTCCTAGAGGTAGTAATGCTTTTGTTTGTTAATTATGAGCATGGTACATTACTGGTCAGTAATCCGACCAGTAACATTTCACTCTAGCCAGGATTAGAAATATTTTTAGGAAGTGAAAGACAGGTGTAAGTTATCCCCTCAAGTAAATCTTCATGATGCAGAGTCTATAAAAATTATAGAACATTGCTATTATCATTATGCCACCTGTTTGTATAAAATCCTTTTGTCAGGCCTGCTCTGTACCTTTAAGCTGCTCTATGTGCCTCATTCTGCCATTTGACCATCACTTTTCAGCAAATGAGCTCCCAACACCCACCTACAGTCTGAACCTTTATAATTTAAACCACCTGAACTCTTATTCAACTTGTTCTTGATTGATTTAGGCTTCTGATTCTTAGGGAAAATCATCTCTGTGTTTTATTATTCTTCCTGCAACAACGTTTGTTGACTTCCATCCTCAGCTACAAATTCACAGTGAGCTCTTACATTACAATAATACAAATGTTTACAATGTGGAGGCATCTATATGTAGTTGGATTATGCTAAGTGCTATAACTCAATGAGAAGCTACTTTGTATTTAAGTGAAGCAGTGCACTTGTAAAGATTTTATTAATCCCACCACCACCAATAACAGCAAATAAATGATTAGACTGAGATGTGACTTTAAAGATATCTGATACCAACCAGAACTCAAGCTTTCAACATGCTGAGTCACATTCTGTGTTATTGACCCTAAGCCCTGAAGCTCTACCCTGCTGCGTGCCCTTGTGTATACTTTCTGCCATGTTCATCGTGGCTAAGAGAATGAGTGGGAATCAGATGTATATTTTCTGTTATGACTGTTAAAACTGTATTTAACTTCAGAGAGCCAACTAAAACTCAACCTCCTGCCTGACTTTTTTCTCTGACCTTTCCCTCATCTGAACTCCTATAACAATATTCCTTTGATTGATTCTGTAATTGTTCACTGTGCATAGCTTTAGTGCATTTCTTTTGCTTTATTTTAAAAACTTATTTATCCTCATTATTGTTATTCAGCATTTTATATGTTCATATCATAGATCTCCTGTTACAGTGAAGACTCCTTGAAGTTGGACACCATGTCTAACCTCAAGAGAACCTTGATGAAAATAAGCATTTATTTTTTTCAACCTGAAGTACTTGTAAAAGGTTTAAATATTATGTGGCTAGTAGCATCTAATAATATTCTAATTTCTGGAGAAAACATTCCTGAAGACACAGAAGGGGCAAAAACATAAGAATAACAAAAAATTAGAATCTAAAGATACCTCATAATCATAAAGCTAAAGGAGCTGAATTAAAGTAGAAAAATAATAGTTCAGCTATGCTTCACCTCATCAACATGGAGTGACCTCAGGGTGTCACTATTGTATCCATTGAGGCTCAAACTGGCAGCTCATCTTTTCTACTGCCTGCCTTGTGGCTCAGAGTTTATAATATGCAAGCCCACCAAAAACTAGGCAAGCAGCTCTGCACTACACAGGTGTTGTTTTCTAAAACGGCCAGAATTCTGTTGCTCTTCCTCTTTCCCCCATCTTTGTATATCCATTTAGAGACTGGAAGTCACGGGAAACAACACAGCAGGAAGAGTGGAGGACTGGCAGTAAAATAAGGCATCCTGGAGATTATAGTAACCACAATTATATTGCTAAAGATGGAGCTGGAGTTACAGTGAGTACCAGTCTGGGGATTTAATTTTTTATGTATACGAACTACACCCTTACATCGAAAACCAGGCTAGGAAAGTCGGAGATGATTCCACCTGTGCCTAGTAAAACTATACTAACAGTTTTGTTGATGAAAATTTGATAAAGAATAATGCTTATCAAACTGCCTCATACTGTACCTAACCCCAAGAAAGGAATCCAACCAACCCTATGAATAATTAATTCAGTCCAGAAATAGTCACATGACCTTTTATAACCATTTAAGATTGTATTTGGCCCTATGTAACAGAAAAGTGGACATAGCAGTTTAAATAAATAAACTCATAGTTTTCTTTCTTTGTAAATGTTTGTATAACAATAATTCAGAGCAGTTGCTATGCTTGGCTAAACATGGTATCAAAGACACGGGTTTATCCTTTTTCTCCACTCACCATCTTTAGAATGTAGTTTATTTCCTATTGCCTCTCTTCTCATGGCCAGCAGATGGCTGCTTTATCTTTAGCATTTCAGTTACATTCCAGGCAGGAAAGAAGACAAGCATTAAGGGAAAAAGGCATGTGCAAGATGAACCTGCTCTCTCTTAAATAGCTTCCATGGAAAGCCCATTCAGCAATCTCTACTTACATCTCATTGTTCAAAAGTGTATCAAATGTTCACGTTTAGCTTCAAGGAAGACTGGAAAATGTGATTTTTAATCAGGACACTTCGCTGCTACAAACAAAATAACACTGGATAGAGATAAGGGCTAATGTAAGATCAGAGTGAATTAAGAGTGAGGTGAGAGTAGGGACATTCCTTAGATCACACAGGGCGTTGTAGTCTACTGCAAGGGCTTTAGATTTTATTATTTGATGCACAATCAAATAATAAAGAGGCCACAAAAGGATTTTAAGCACATAAGTCTCTCTGTTGGGTAAAGCATAGGCTAGGAAAGGAAGAGAGAAAATAGGGACACTATTAAGGAGCCTGTCCTTCCCATTCTCTATTCAATAAATCATGGTGGCTTGTGTTAGATTGGTTGAGTGGGAACAGATGGAACAAAAAAAAAAAGAACATTTTCAATATAGAAATGAAAAGAGTTGCAGAAGTGTTGGATGTAGGTAGAAAGAAAGTAGGGGTTTTCTGAGAGTCAAGATGGAGAAATTGGGTGGATGGTAGTGCCAATCACTGAGAGAGGAAGAACCGAATATTATACGGATCTGGAGAGGTGTGATGTCGTGAAGAGGGTCATATTTGGTTTTGAGAAACTTGAGATTTCAGTGCACACGAAAATGAAAGTGTCATAGGGACAATGAATTATGTGAGTTTGAGGCTCAGAGAACAGAGATGCCTTGGAGATATAATTTTGGTATCAACAACAAACAGGTGGTATTTAATGCTACAGAAATAGCCAAGATCCCATAGAGACAAAGTGTAGAAATAAAAGAGGGTCGAACCTCCAAGGAAACCTACCAAGAAGTTAAAAGACTGATTGGAAAAGTGAAAGTGAACCAGACGATGTCAGTTGACATCCATGAATTTCAAGAAAATAGGGATGCCCAAGAAGACTCAAAAAAATAAATACACACACACACACACACACACACAAACACACACACACAAGCACTTAGGTGCCTATGGATTCAGTTTCTTTGAAGACAAAAAATACTTCAAAGGAGTTGAAACTGAGTCAAAACTAGTAGATATAGATATTGGTATATGTGACCTGAAAATATATTAAAAAAAAAAAAGACCAAACAGATAGTTGTCTTATGTATAAGTATTTTGGATATAATTTATAAATATGCAGTTATACAAGTGGTATTTATCATTATATATTTGAATGTATGCTTTGATAAAATCTAAGCAATTTTGGAGATTGTTATGATTTAAATGTTTTTTCCTTGCCTATAAAAGAAAAACTCAAAACATATTTTGTACTTTTAACTTTCCCATAAATGTATCAATTCTGGTTCAAGGGAGGCAATATCTCATTGCAACATCAGAGGAAATAGGAAAAAGTCAAAATGTCTGGAAAATGATAACTGGCTTCAACATGCAAAATAAATGTTCAAAGATAGAATCAAAGGGCAAACATCAAGGTAAAAATAAAGAAATAAGCTACACAGATAATAAAGATAATCCACAAAACTTAAAAAAACCTCTAATTTTATCTTGAGTAAATTGAGTGGATATTTTGAACTTTATTTTTCATTTACAGTTTGCCCCAGGATAAAATGATAAGCTCTATTAGTCAGAAAAGGTTAATGGCATATTATTTTGTTGGTAGATTGATAACAGTCTCTGGACCAAGTTGTTTGTAACTTCTGTTCAAGAGTACGATTGTACCTCAGCAGCAAATCACATGAAAATGTCAACCGTATGTTAGATTTTACCCACTTAAAGAAAAAAATCCCACAAGAAACGTTATAGGATAATGGAATGTGCAAAATTAATCGCTTTTCAAGGGGTTGTTCCCAGTTTTATTCTCCTTGGTTGAATTCCCTCCCCAATTTGCCCCTCAGATATGCATTCGCTTATTGAAAGATGTGATTGTGGCCACTGTGCTAGAGCCCACTTTGAGTCAACGTCGCATTTATCAAACAGATCCCTCTCACCCAAATATTCCCAGTGTAGTCACTGCCAGCAATCCTCCTTTATTTGTACTCTCCATTGTACCTGGTGGATTCTATATTATATTAATTCATAATACCAGCTCTGCCAGGCTCCCTACGGTTACAATTATTAAAGCTGTAACTGAAACGATATCTCTCATATTGATCTTCAACTAGAAGTTCTTATCCCGAAGCTTTTGTTTCACATTAAGACACTAATGATCACCTTCACCAAATGAGCAGCTTAATAGTCACAAAAAGCTAAATGAAAAGACTTTGATCACCACCTTTGAGAGCACTGTGTTCCAACATCTCTCCCATCCATAATTGGCAAACACTAACTGAGCTTTTAATTAAAAAAAAAAAAAAGAAAGAAATATACAAAATACTTTAAAGAAACTTACTTTTTCACAAAAATTATCTCCTTTTTTGTTGTTTTTTGCCAAGTATGTTTAGCCCTACATATTCTGTTTGTTTTCCAGGTCATTCAAAGACTCTGTTTGCCTATAGGTTATTTTTTAATATCCTGATTTCTAACAATTTATTCATTTTCTTTTCATAAGAACTGAGATGAGTTATAAATTCAGTTGAAGTGATAGAAATTATGCAGCAGTTTTGAGTGCCTATTTGATTTACTTGTTAAAAGAATTGGTACAGATTAATCAGTGTGTCCTCCCCTATGTCTGGAGGGATAATGGAGCTACTTGATGTTTCTTTCATATTCACATTTCCTCCTGGAAAAAGTAGAATAATGACTCTATAATGAAGTCTTTATACAAAGACAATGTATCCTGAAAAAATATTAACAATATTTTTGTAATTGATCAAATGGGAAAAAAATTCTCTTTGGGCATTCATTAGACGTACCAATGTTATTCACTCTACTGCTAAAAAAGTAACAACACTACAGAGACTTTTTATATCCAAGTTTTAAATCAACTTTATATTGTAGAGTATTAATCTTCCCAATGAACCTGCAGATGCATAATCTGAAAATGGACACTCTGTAGTGGTGCACTATGCACACACAGAA